ATTTAGGGTTTAGGGTTTAGGATTTAGGGTTTAAGAATCTAGGGTTTAGGGTTTAAGATATAGGGTTTAGGGTTTGTGTTGTTGAGCCTTCTTGTTTCTGTAGGAATGATATCCCATACCTTATGTATGTCAATGAGCCCTACACCTACTTATTTCGTCATGTAGTCATTAGATGAATCTTGAACTTTTTGACCCTAAACCCTAAACCCTAAACCCTAAACCCTAAACCCTTTCTCCAAATAGCGCAAAGAATAGGCCCAGCTTGCCCAGCGTGGGTTGTACGAACCCCAACCCTAAACCCATATAAGCTTGAAGCCCCTGAGCCCCAGATATTAGGCTTTGGGGTGTAAGGGTTTAGGGTTTAGGGTTTAGGGTTTAGGGTTTAGGGTTTAGGGTTTAGGGTTTAGGGTTTAGAGCCCTCGAGTTAGCCTTCAAGCAGCAGCATTCAGTGTGGCGGTTAAGTGAGCTTAGGGTTTCGGGGTTGAGTGTGTAGGGCGACACAAACGAGTACGGCACGGACGGATGCCTGATGTCGAGATCAATGGCGTAGTTTGGTCAGGGCATCTGGGTTCAGCGTTTATTTAGGGCTTCTACCTCGTTTTCCAGGCTCCTGAATCGCCACTGACGAGGAGACAACAGCAATCGAATCATTTGGGGCTTAGGTGCCCTAAACCCCAAACCCGACACCCTACACCCCTAACTCTAAACCCTAAACCCTAAACCCTAAACCCTAAACCCTGAACCCTAAACCTTTGTTGACAGCAGGCCCAGCTTCGCCTACAACCTGCCCAGCATGGAAGACGGCAGCATCCAGCGCGTCATCAAGGCCCGACCCCCTAGGCTCTAGCTACTTGGGGTTTAGGGTTTAGGGTTTAGGGTTTAGTGTTTAGTGTTTAGGGTTTAGGGTTTAGGGTTTAGGTTTCCTATAGTTAGGAGGATTCTATGCTGTAGGGTTTGGGAGTGATAGGTATACAATATTTGGAGGCCTACCCTGAACCCTGAACCCCAAAGCCTAAGCCCGAAACCCCATAAGCCCTCAACTCCCTAAACCCTAAACCCTAAACCCTAAACCCTAAACCCCTCCACAGGCCATGGCGCCCATGGTCCCGCGGAACTACTTGGTCATGGAGGCAACGCCGGCTCAAGGGGGGCCTTTTGGAGGGTTTTGGTTTTTTGGTTTAGGGTTCAGGGTTTAGGGTTTAGGGTTTAATTAGGGTTTCGGGTTTTGGGTTCAGGGTGTAGGGGATTTGCGTTTGGGGGTTTGGGCTTCAGGGTCATGTTAAGGGACCATGTAACTGCCCGAAGATTTGTTTTGGGGTTAGAGGGTCTGCAGGGCTTCTTTGATTTTGGGGTCTGAGGGTTGAGGCAAGAGTCCTCCGTTGAAGTGTGAAGGGGGAGGCCTTGAACCCTACAACGGTTTAGGGTTTAGGGTTTAGGGTTTAGGGTTTAGGGGTTAGGGTTTAGGGTATAGCACCTGATACCCCACCTCTTATACCCTAGATCCAACCTCAAAGCTCTGCCTCAAGCCGCGCCCGCTGAGCTCATTGACCTGCCAAACCCTGAACCCTAAACCCTATCTGGTCTGTAGGGTTTGGGGTTTAGGGTTTAGGGTTTAGGTTTTAGGGTTTCAGAAAAGGTCCAGGGCTTGGGGTTAAGCCCTGAGCACGGAACCCCTGAACCCCCAACCCCATGACCCCAAACGAGCGGCTGCGAACGTTTGAGGGCATAAGGCTTATGTGATCTAGATTGATGGGCGCTTTCAAACGTCTAAATTTTAGTACTGGTGCCCACAAAGGTGTAGAGTCTCGACCCTAAACCCTAAACCCTAAACCCTAAACCCTAAACCCCAGAGGGTGGGTTGTCGGGCTCTCAGCTGCCAGGTCAAGTCGAACCTGGTCAAAGAGGAGCGTGGGGGTGTCTGCTGCGGCCTTGTTGCTCCCAGGGAAGTTAGGGTTGAGGGTTTAGGGTTTAGGGTTTATAGGGTTTAGGGTTTAGGGTTTGCAAAAAGTATATACCTTTTATTTCTCCAGGGTCTACCCCAAAGTAGGGTAGAGCCCGTGCCCACGAACCCTTAAGGGTGTTAGGGTTTCATGGGTTTAGGTTTCGGGGTTTAGGCTTTCAGGGGTTTAGGCTTTCATGAGTTTGGGGATTTAGGGGCTGTTTAGTTTGTTTTCTTTCTTTGCAGTTTTGGGGGTTGGGGTTTTAAGGTTTTAGGTGTTGGGGTTTCAGGGTTTGATGGTTTTAGGGTCTATGGTCTTTTTGTTTACGTCTTGTTAGGCTGCTTTCAAGGGTGTTAGGGTTTCAGGGTGCTAGGGTTTTGGTTTTTAGGGGCATTTGGGGGGTCATTTCTTGCATTGTTTGGGGTTTTACATTTTTGGGCTTTGGGTTTTGGTGTGTGAGGTTTTGGGGCGTTTCAGGGTTGGAGGGTTCAGGGTTTTAGAGTTTAGGTTTTTTTCGTTTAGGGTTATAGGCTCTAGCGGCTCAATTTTTACGTGTGGAGCTCTTAATCGGGTCTTCGGGACTGAGATACCTTGCAGCCGAATTCCAGTACGTTGTGGTCGCGTATAAATTTTTCAGGTCTCCACGTTGTAGGCCCTAAACCCTATCTAAACCCGAAATCCTAAACCTTAAACCCCAAACCCGAGACCGTAAACCCTAAACCCTAGCTGTAAACTCTAGGGTTTGGGTTTAGGGTTCAGTGCCTAAAAGGCAGCTCGCTCCCAGATGAGCCCATGCAGGACGCCGCCACCGTTGGGGACGTGGCTGCGACATGGATGAGCTGGCAGAGGGCGCAGAGGTCAGGAGGCCCTGTCCTCTCTCTCCGACGGCCACGTCTGCGTCTGCCTAAACCGCGAGATGTTCAGCGAGGCGAAGCGAGAGGGCTTGGCCTCGACTGAGTACGCCCCGGAGGGCACCGACGACATCACCGCGGCGTCGCCGCCGGATCTGAGCCTTGCTCCTTTCGAGCTACCGTATGCCAAGGCTATACACCCGAGACCCTAAACCCTAGCCCTAAACCCTAGACCTTAGCTAAGTCCTAAACCCTAAATCCTAAACCCTAAATCCCTGCACCCTGAAGTATTGAACCCTTAAGCCTAAACCCATATACATCCATCCCCTATTCCCCTTACTTGCCGCGAGGAGCGATTGGAACTGCTCCAGCGCTTTTCCAGCCCCCACTTCAAGAAGACGGCCGGGCAGCGGCGTGGTTTAGGGTGTGAAGTTAGGGTTTCGGGTTTAGGGTTTAGGGTTTAGGGTTTGGGTTTAGGGTTTAGGGTTTAGGGTTTAGGGTTTAGGGCAACCCGAAAAATCAGGGTTGGCGGCAGGGGAGGGGGGGCAGGCCCTTCCGGCTTTCGGGTGCAGATTTACGAGGCTTTCAATGTGTCGTTTCGAAGCCCTCTTCCAGCAGGGCTTAACGAGAGTAGGGTTTAGGACGAGGCTGGCTTTGTGGCTCTGTGTTGCGTTTTCTTGTTTCGTACCTTTGAAATTGACAGGCTTCGGTCTGCAACTGACCTAAGCCCTAGAGTTTAGGGTTTAGGGTAAACTTCCCAGTCCAAAAGCCCAACACCCAAGCAATCACTCACAGGCCCTTGTGGTCATGGGCGAGCCGAGCGAGGCAACAGAGGGGGGCGGGAGCGGGAGGGCGGGAGGGGGACTACGGGGATATCGGGTTCATGCGTTTAGGGCCTGAGATCCTAGCCGGGTGTGTTTAGGGTCTCCCTAAACCCCTAAACCCCTAAACCCCTAAACCCCTAAACCCCTAAACCCCTAAACCCCTAAACCCCTAAACCCCTAAACCCCTAAACCCCTAAACCCTCACACGCACTCTATGTAGAGGCACAGACGTCCTTCCACCCTGCTTACGACCCGTCTCATGGGCTACGCATGAACCTTCAATCAGGGTTTGCAGTTTTGGGACATGTTGTGGGGACCTTAAGGGTATGGGCTCATGTAAAGGTTCAGAAGGTGTAAGAGTCGGACAGGCCTCGGGTTTAGGGTTGAGGGTTCAGGGTTTTGGGTTTAGGGTTTAGGGTTGTAAGTCCTAGGTGTCTCTAAACCCTAAACCAGAAACCCTAAACCCTAAACTGTTGAAGGTGTGGGGCTTAGGGTTTCGCGCTGCAGGAGTTTAAGCAACGCTCCTGGAACCGGCTACTTGCAGAAAAGCAGTCCAAGGCCCACTGTGTTTTTGTTGGTGGGGGGTTTAGGGTTTAGGGTTCAGGGTTTAGGGTTTAGGGTTTGTTGGGTACAGGGATGTAGGGTATAGTGGTTTGATTATTATAGGCTTCTGAGGCTTAGGGGAAGATGTGCTCAAATCCCGAGGCCCCTGTAGGTCATTTTCCCGGCAACATGGTTACGCAGATATTTGCAGTTGCACTACCCAGCGAAACCGGCTCGAGCTCAGACTGTGTAAAGGTCCGTAGTTGAGGTGCAGCACTGGAATTTTGGGGGGGATTTTTGGGTGTTGGGATCTGATCCGCTTGGCTGCAATTCTTCACACATTAGGCGCTTCGCGTTCAGCGAGTTTAGGACGTAGGGTGCGCGCAGTCCCGAGGTACTCTTTGCGCGCAGCATGTGCGGGATCGGAACTGTGAAATGCATGAGTCCCAAGCCCTAAACCCCACGCCCTCAAGCAACAATACCTTAAACCCTACAAGCTGGGGTAGGTTTGAACATCTTTCTTACACTTTGTTGACATTCAAAATCCACAGGCCCCCCAAACCTACCCCAGTAAGCCCGAGAGATAAGGGGCACTCGGGTACAACACCCTGGGTTTTTGGAGTACCATACTTAAATACATTTTTTGCTTCTGGAATTATTCCATTTACGGCTACTAAGACCTAAAAGGTATATAATATGCTTTTTACAGCTACTTATACCAAAAAAGTGTATATACTTTTTTTCAGGGTCTACTCCTAAGCCATAAACCCTAAACCCTAAACCCTGAACCCTGAACCCTAAACCCTAAACTCTCCAAAGTAGGGACACAATGGCTGTGTCAGGTCGATGCCGAGTGGAAGGCAAAGAAAGCCGCTGCACAGCGCCAGCGCGAACTGCAGGCCTCCCCCCCGGTAAACTTGGCGTTTAGGGTTTAGGGTTTAGGGTTTAGGATAACCCCAAACCCCAAACCCCACACCCCATACAGCCCTAAGAAAGCTGCTGAAAGCCACAAGACAACCTACAACAGACACTAAGCTGTACTCTCCACATGAGGGTTTGGGGTGTTGAGGTGTAGGGTTTCGAGTTGAGTCTGAGGGTGTAGGCGTAGGGTTGAGTAGCCGACATAAGACCCCTCCCCCCCACCCTCAACCCTCCACCCTAAACTCTTAACCCTAACATCTAGACCCTAAACCCTGCTACGCAGGAACTACGGAAGAAGGCCGAGGAGCAACGCAAGCCGCTGACTTGGATTTAGGGTGTATAGGGTGTAGGGGTTAGGGTGTCACAGTTTAGGGATTGATGCTCGCAATCAACTGGGGCCCCAAACCCTAGACCTAAACCCTAAACCCTAAACCCGACACCCTAAACCCTAAACCCTAAACCCTAAACCCTAAACCCTCAACAACCCCTACACCCAAGGGGTTAGAGTTGCTAGCTCCCAGGAAGAAGCTGGAGGAAACCCGGAAGAAAGAAGAGGAGGCCTGTGGGAAGTCCTGGAATCGAGAGTCTCGCACTTGAATCCGTTTAGGGTTTAGGGTTGAGGGTTGAGGGTTTAGGGTTTGGGGATTAGGGTGTAGGGCTTAGAGTTCTTGAACGTTGAACTTGAAATTCCAAGCCCGGACACATCTAACATCATCTAATCCAGGAGCCTAAAAATGTCATGAATATTATGCTCCCAGTATATGTCCTTTACAGTTTCAGTACAAACGTCCTGTGCTCCACATACCCATTCTAATACGGGGGTTTACGAGAATAAGGGACCCCTAATAGAAACCCCCCCCCCCAATAGTGGGATTCCCGTAAAAGAAGGATCCCAATAAGGTACCCCCAAATTTCGGGAACCTTCATATGAGGTTGAAATCGCCGCTATTGGCGAGTGCAGATATGGTTCCTTGCAAATATCGGTGATGTGTGTCTATAGGTGTTCCTTTTTGGGGATGCCCCGGCAACCTCGTGAAAACTCCGAAACCCAAAACCCTAAGCCTTAGACCCTAAACCCGAAGCTCTCAAGCCTTCAACCCTAAACCCTAAGCCGGAAACCCTAAACCCTAAACCCCAAGCCCGAAACCCTAAGCCCTCAGCCCTAAACCCTAAACCCTAAACCCTAAACCCCAAGCCCTAAAATCTAAGCCGTCAGCCCTAAACCCTAAACCCTTGAACTTGTGCCAGGCGAAGAAAGCCGAGGGTGCTGAGGGCGATGCCCCCATGGAAGAGGCCAAGGAGGAGGCCGGGGATGCTTTTTTTTAGTGTCGAGAAGTGTAGGGTTTATAGGGTTTAGGGTTTAGGGTTTAAGGTTTAGGCCTTCGGGGACAAGCAGTTCTAGAAGTTCAGGGCATAGAGGTTTGGGGACTAGAAGCTGAAAAAGGCAAGAAGATTGGTGGTTTAGAAGTCTAGCGTTCCGGAGGGGTTCAACGATCTCTGTCGGGTTTGAACTTTATAACCCTAAATCCTTGGGGTTTAGGGTTTAGGGTTTAGAGTTTAGGGTTTAGGGTAAACCCTAAACCTACCCTAAACCCTAAACCTGATATCAGGGCTTGGTGTTTAGGAACACGGCGCTTGGCAATTGGAAGGCCGTCGCCATTTCACACCTCAAGCAGGAAGCCATTCCTGTCACCATTTAGGGTTTGGGGGAGTTAGGGGAATTAGGCGGCGTAGGTGTAGGGCTCAAGGGTTTAGGGCGTTTAGGACTCCGGGTGCTGCGAAACCTCATGGGTCGTCAAAAGCTCTGCCAAACACCAAACCCAGGCTCAAAAGGATTTGTGAGTCAACTGCCCCGGAATCGGAACCCTAAGACAGGCACCAGCCCAGCAAGTGAAACCTACGAGCCTTCAAGACTCCCCTATTCTGAATCAGGAGGTGAAGGAGGAGAAGCTGGACGTCAAGGAGGAGGCCCGATACTAGCCCTAAACCCTAAACCCTAAACCCTCAACCCTAAACCCTAAACCCTTTGCAGCAGGCTGAGAGATATAGTCTCTTTCGAAGTCAGTGGCTTGAGGGGTGGTGAAGGTGGTAGGGGTTCATGGGGTAGGGTTCTTGAGTACCCCAAAAACTAGGATGCCCAGTAGTACCCTTATTCCCTTTTTGGGGGGTTTAGGTTCCCTTATAAACCTCTTTACGCAAAAAAAGGGCACCCTTCTTAAGCCTAGGTTACTGGGCAGCCTAGAAAAAAGGCATCTAGCTACCCTGTTGAGATGCCTTAGAGCTGCCCATGAGCCTCCGAGCAAAGTTTTTTTATTTTGGTGATGTTTGCATCGCTCCTGCGCAGTTTTGCCGGAGTGAGGCGAGCCCTGTTCAGGTTTGTAGGAATTCCTACAGGGTTTAAGGTTTAGGGTTTAGGATTTAGGGTTTAGGGTTTAGGGGATTCAGGAGGAGAAGGAGGACGACGGGCTGGGCGACGAGCCCCCGAAAGCCGAGCTGACGGAAGAGGTGCCTCGCGAGATTTTCTTGCGGCGTTTGAAGCTCTATCATGGGTTCCGCTACTACCCTCCGTTTAGGGTTTAGGGTACACTACCCCCCCCTCGGCTCCCCCATAATGAAGGCTATCTAGGGACACTTAGACCCAAATTAACCTAAACCTTCTAATCCCTAAACCTTTGTTAAGCCTCAAGCCTTAAAATCCAAACTCTAAACCTTAAAACCTTAAACCCCTAAGGCCCTAAGCCCTAAACCCTGAACCCTAAACTTGGAATGTCCCCCCTTATACTATCAGTACTTATTGAGGAATATAGTGCCCCCCCCCCCCCATTATATGATCCCTATTCAGGACTGTTCGTATAAGGGATGTTCCAACCCTCAACCCTTTAAATCTGAACCATAAGCCCTAACCCCTACCCCCTAAACCCCTAAACCCCTAAGCCCTTAGCCCTCAACCCTAAACCCTAGACCCTAAACCCTAAACCCTAAACCCTAAACCCTAAACCCTAAACCCTAAACCCTAAACCCTAAACCCTAACCAGCATAAGACTTCCCCCAAAAGCCGAGAGCAGACTTGGACCTCGGAAGGTTGACTTGAGGCTGCAAGGCTGCCAGGACATCTAGCTGTATCCGACACGTTCAAAAACACCAGGGTTTAGGGTTTAGGGTTTAGGGTTTAGGGTTTAGGGTTTAGGGTTTAGGGTTTAGGGACTGCGAAGTACTTAGAAGCCCCTTAACCCACCTTAAAAACCCTAAACCCTAAACCCTAGGCAGTCGACAGGGCCTCCAAGTAGAGGGCTCGTCCTGCGCACGGCGGATGCACCAGGAGGATTCTGTACCCTAAACCCTAAACCCTAAACCCTAAACCCTAAACCCTAAACCCTAAACCCTAAACCCTAAACCCTAAACCCTACATCACCTTTGATCTTCGTCCCAAGCGGGCAAAGACATCTGCACTGGGTTCTTTCCTTTTTTGTGGGGGGCGAGATAGGGTTTAGGGTTTAGGGTTTAGGGTTTAGGGTTTTGGGTTTTGGGTTTGGGTTTTGGGGTGGGGTTTAGAGCTTGGGGCTGAGTATCTTGGGGTGTAGTGTAAGCACAATTTGGGTATGTTGTCTTCGGATCTTCTCATTCAGCCAACTTCTGTCATACTTGCAGGAGAAGAAGAAGTACTTCCGCAACAGGCACGGCCTAAACCCTAAACCCTGAACCCTGAACCCTGAAACCTAATCCCTCTTCTGGACCCAACCCCTGAAGTCCTCCTAGGGGAGATGGTGGACTTCGTAAGTAATTAGGTATTCGTAATTCGAGTTCAGCTATTCAGCTACCCTCCTACTTCATTCCCCCTACATAACTTAGCAACTACTACCCTGAACCCTAAACCCTAACCGTAAACCCCAAAAACCTTCAGCTCTAATCCCAAGTCCCAAGCCCGAAGCCCTCAATCCCAACATCCCGAACTCCTGATTTCCCAAACCCTGAGAGCCCCAAGAGTCGCGCCTAAATCCCCGCAATCCTACTAAGTACTCTATAATCCCTAAACCCTAAACCCTAATCCTAAGACCTCTTAAACCTCCTAAACCTCTAAGCCCTACCTGCAACCCTCTTTACCTACAGATTTGTCGGCTATACCTACGAACTAAGGGTAGTTTCTACCAAACTGTAGGTACATAGTCCCAGGATTTGCCCTAAGGAAATCCCTGAAATCCTACTAAATCCCTTAAACCCCCCCCGAAAACCTCCTAAGCCCCAAACTAAACCCTAAACCCTAAACCTAACCCGTACCTCCTAAATCTCCTAAGCAATAAACCCTAAACCCGAATCGCGTGAAGTCGCAGGCAAGGCATACCAGACCTGGCACCTACGACGCTTCGGAAGTTCCTTCAGCAGCTGCTTGGCCGAAAACCCCCCAAACCCTACAAACCCTGCAAAGTCTATACAGGATTTAGGTTTTTTGGTTTAGGGTTTAGGGTTAGGGCTACACACCCTGCAAACCCTACTAACCCTGCCAAGCCTCCAAAACCTTACGAACCCTGTACCCTCATGGGGCGTGGAGTCACCGGTTCAGGGCCGAGGGTCGGGTGGTTAGGGTCTTAGAGCTTTGGAGTAGTAAAGGGATTCAGACTCGTACCCCTAAAGGTTGTATTCCTAAGGTTTCTCGTAATATGGGGGTTTCCGAAATATGGGGTACCTTATCGTCCTGAACAGAAGGGAATCCTACTTTTTGGGGGGCTATTCGGGGTCCCTTATTTCCATAAGCTCCCATCTACTCCTAGTAAGGCCTTTATATTACCTTGTAGGGTTTAGGGTTTAGGGATCTCAAAAAAAGGGTCCCCACACCCTGTGACCCAAGGCTACAACCTAGGGGTCCGAGGTGGGGTCCCCTGAGGGTTTAGGGTTTAGGGTTTAGGGTTTAGGGTTTAGGGTTTTGGGTTTGGGGTTTTGGGTTTAGGGTTTAGGGTTTAGGGTTTAGGGTTTAGGGTTTAGGGTTTGGGGAGCCCTGGAGCTTTAGGGATTCAGTGCTTCGGGGCTCTAGGTGTTTAGGGTTTGGAGTTTAGGGTTTAGTAGCTCTTCCGGGTCCCAACCATGAACGCAAAATGTCTGCCCTAAACCCAGAAGGCCCTAAATTCCCTAGACGACCAGAACCCCACACCCCAGTGGACCCCTTAAACGCCCTTAAGTGTTCCGGTTTAGGGTGTTTGGCGCCCCGTCTCACCCTCTAAGTGCTAAACCCTAGACCCTAAACCCCAAACCCCAAACCCTAAACCCTATACCCCAAACCCTAAACCCTAGGGGCCCTTAACCCCAAAGCCTAAGCCCCAGCAGCAGGTTCTCCCTTCCCGAGAAAGCTGAGGGCTGGGACGAGATCAAGCTCCTTGGTCGACAAGGGTTTAGGGTTTCGGGTTTAGGGTTTGGGGTTTGGGGTTCGGGGTTTGGGGTTTGGGGTTTAGGGTTTAGGGTTTAGGGTGTCTTGCGACTTAAGGTTTGTTTAGGGCCCTTTGGCCATCGTTTAAGGCCACGCTTTGGGGGCCCAGGAAGGCTTTCCGGGCGTCAGTGATGTGGGGTGTCGGGAGTTTAGGGGGGGGGGGGGGGGGTTAGGGTTCAGGGTTTAGGGTTTAGGGTTTTGGGTTCGGGGTCTACAAGGTGTTAGAGGTGTTTTGTTGCCTCTTGCCTTGTCCTTTGGGGTGGCCGGGGGTTAGGCTGGGGGAGGTGGGGCGAAGAGTGGAGTGGACCCCTAAACCCTAAACCCTAAACCCTAAACCCTAAGCCCACACAACTTGGGGGATGCATCATGGAAACGAGGAGCTGCTTTTGTGTTTAGGGCTCAGGGTGCTTGGTGCTTAGGGTTTAAGGATTTTGGGGCGTTTAGGATCCCGAGTTTGTTGAGGGACTTAGGTTGAAGGCCTCTGAGGTCTAGGGTACGTAGATAAGTGTTCAACTCAGCCAAGGTCTCAACCCTTTTTCTTAGGACAGTGTTTGGGGTCTAGGACGTAGTCCTGGACCCCCTCTGTGCGAGGTATGCCTGGGACCAAGCTCATTCCAGCAGGGACTACCTGCGGAAGTGGGTCGTGGAGGTGCTCCTGTGCAGGGGCAGGGACGGGAGGGGGCGGGAGGGGGGGTTTAGGGTGGTGTGTCAGGGTCGTGAAGGGCCAATGGGGTTTAGGGTGTAGGGTTTAGGGTTTAGGGTGTAGAGGCTGCAGGGTCTTTATGGGATGTAGGGGTGTAAGTTCGAGGGGCAGCCTGCAGCCGAGTTTCAGGTCGCTGCATTAACAGACCGTTAGGGATTAGAGCTTAGGGTTTAGGGTTTAGGGTTATCCGAAACCAGCTGTAGTGGTGGCGATGCAGTTCTTGAGGGGGGAGGTCTGTTGGATCTGAGCCCAGTGGTACCTTTTTGCTTTTTTTGGGTTCAAGGTTCCCTTGTAAAGGGACCAACCGCCAAAAACGATACCATTACTAGAAGATGGCTACTGGGCTATCTTGGGGTTCAGGCCTCAATCCTAACCCTAAACCCTAAACCCTAAACCCTAAACCCTAAACCCTAAACCCTAAACCCTAAACCCTAAACCTGGGCTTTGGGCAGCAGGCGAAGCGCACGACGCTCATCGAAGACCCGCAGCCTTCGCAGATCTTCACGACGAAGCAGCTCGGGCTCCGGGTGGTTTAGGGTTTAGGGTTTAGGGTTTAGGGTTTAGGGTTTAGGGTTTAGGGTTTAGGGTTTGTAGGGTTTGTAGGGTTTGTAGGGTTTAGGGTTTAGGGTTGCGGGGATTGTGCTCAGAGCGCCCTAAACCCCAAAATCCCCAAAACCTAAACACCCGAAAAAACTCAGCCCTATAAACCTTGCACCCAAAGTACGCTGCTGGCTTTTGCAGCTTTACTGTAGGGTCTGCGGATTGACGTTGTCATGGCTGACGGTTTACGGCCCGTAGCTTGCAAAGCTGCAGTTTAGGGTTTAGGGTTTTGAAGTCTTGGTGTTTTCTTTTTGGGGGGGCCTATTACAAGGGGTACCTTATTGGTTGCTATGTGTAGGATCCTAAACCTAAACCCTTAACCCCAAACAGCCCTGGGGTTAGAGTTTCGGGTTCCGGATTTAGGGTATAGGGTTTAGGGTTTAGGGGTTGAATTGGAAACCCAAACCCTAACCCTAAACCCTAAACCCTAAACCCTAAACCCTAAACCCTAAACCCTAAACCCTAAACCCTAAACCCTAAACCCTAAACCCTAAACCCTAAACCCAACGCCTAGATGCCGCGCCAGGTTCCTGGCGTGGCAGAAGCAGCAGATGGACTACCAGCAGAAGCAGAATCTCTGGAAGGCCCCTTTGCTATGGGAGTTCAGGGTTTAGGGTTTTAGGGTTTGTTTAGGGTTTAGGGTTGAGGGTTTAGGGTTGAGGGTTTAGGGTTTAGGGTTTAGAGTTCAGGGTTTAGAGTTTTAGGGTTTCAGCAGAAGCAGAGCCTTTGGAAGGCCCCTTCTTTGCTATCCCTATGGGTCCATGGAATACTTGGGCCTTAAAGTACTTCCTATATAAGGACTTTTGGGTCTAAGTATGTAATGATAAGGTATATGGGCCCTTAGGGTATAGGAGTTCAGGGTTCAGGGTTTAGGGCTTCAGCAGAAGCAGAACCTCTGGAAGGCTCCTTTCGCTATAGGGGTTCAGGGTTTAGGGTTCAGGGTTCAGGGTTTAGGGTTTAGGGTTCAGGGTTCAGGGTTTAGGGTTTAAGGCTTTAGGGTCTTAGGGTTTTAGGGTTCAGGGCAGAAAGCAGAACCTCTGGAAGGCCCCTTTGCTTGGGGGTTCAGGGTTTAGGGTCGTAGAGGTTTTGGGTATCAGAGTTTTCGGGTTTTAGGGTTTTGGGCCAGTTTTGGGGTTTCGGGTTTTAGGGTTGGTTACTTTTTTTTTTTTTTTGGGGGGGGGGGGGGGTTCAAGGGTTTAGTGTTTAAGGGGTTTGAGGGTGTGACGGTTTTCGGGATTTAGGGTTTTAGGGTTTAGGGTTTGCGTCTTGGAGTTTATGTTGGGTTGGGGTTGTCGGTTTTTGTGGTGAGAGAGCTTGCAATCAGCAAGGCTAGTGGTAGTTGGGCCAAGCTTGGTCCTGATGCACAGTTATTAGAGGGTTTAGGGTTTGCCACTTGTAATCCCTAAGCCCTAAATGAAGGCAAGCCTCTCAAAAGGGTGGAATAAACCCTGAACCCTACAACCCCAATAAAGGGTTTAGGGTTTAGGGTTTGGGGGTCTTTGTGGTGCTTTACTGTAACTTTAGATCCTTAGCCTTTTTGGGGTTATTGGGTTTCTTAAGAAGCCAGCTAAAAATTTAATTTTTAGCTACCCCCCTAAGTGCAGCCAAGGGATTGGGGTTCGGAGTGAGAGCCGAGGCAAAGCCGAAAAAGGAGGAGGATGCTGCATCCGTTGCTGCCAGAGCCAACCTCGACATCTTCGCAGTGGAGGCCCCCCCCCCCCCCCCCCCCCCCCCCCCCCCCCCCCCCGACCCCCCCCCCCTCTTCCCCAGACCCTACTGTAGACCCTACTGTAGACCCTAGACCCTAAACCCTAACCCAAAAACCCCTTTACGCCCCGAACCCCCTAAGTTTCTCAACCCTGAAACCCTATCCCCTGAATATCTATACTTATAGGCATGAGTTTTCATACCTGCCTTACTTGAAGGGTGTGGAACTTGAGGTCAAAACCATCAGGGTGTGGTTCAGTTTGAAATGGCGGGGGGGGGGAGGGGGGAGCGGGGGCTGAATAATGATGAGCCCTTTTTGTGGGCAACCTAATCTGTGAGAAATATGTTTCAATAGAGTCCGACAAAAAAGGAGATACAAATTCAACAAAAAAGGACATACAAACATAAATAAACAAGTTCCCAAGAAGTTGTACAAAAAAACAAATATGTATGTCTATAGTCAAGAGCAGCAGTCCCTATGTTTAGGTAGAGCTGAAGGGGACTTTGCGGTCTTTGCCTGTGGTTCTTAGGCTCCGTGTGTTCGCAGGACGTTAAAGGCTGTGGCTAAGTTGTAACACACATATCTGTATATATGTATATGTATGTATGTACGTATGTATATGTATATGTATATGTATATGTATATGTATATGTATATGTAGATGTATATGTATATGTATATGTATATGTATATGTATATTTTGGTGTATGTATATACACACGCTATACCAAGTAGCCTGCGCTTGCAGGATGTGAACGACATCGGCGACGGCGAGCCGCTGTACGCGAACTTTGAGCCCGTGGACTGGGCACTGCTGCCCTCCTTGCAACTTATAAAGGGGCTACAGGTTTAGGGTTTAGGGTCTAGGGTCTAGGGTTTAGGGTTTAGGGTTTAGGGTTTAGGGTTTAGGGTTTAGGGCAAGGGGCTACATCGAGAGCCGAACTTCTTGCTT